GGTGCTGGAGCTGCTGGAGGTGCTGGAGGTGCTACTGGAGCTACTGGAGGGGCTGGCGCTGCTGGAGGTGGTGCTGGTGCTGGAGCTGCTGGAGGTGCTGCTGGTGCTGGAGCTGCTGGAGGTGCTGGAGGTGCTCCTGGAGCCACTGGAGGTGCTGGCGCTGCTGGAGGTGGTGCTGGTGCTGGAGCTGCTGGAGGTGCTGCTGGTGCTGGAGGTGCTCCTGGAGCCACTGGAGGTGCTGGCGCTGCTGGAGGTGGTGCTGGTGCTGGAGCTGCTGGAGGTGCTGCTGGGTCTGGAGACCCTATGGCTGAGGGTACCGGTTCTGTCTCTGCTGTTTCTGGAGGCTCTGCGCGGTCGCGGCCGTACTACGTTCCGCTCCTTCAGCAGGTTCTTGGCTCCCCGCCTTCTCCTGGTCCTCCTCCTCCTTTCCTGAGTCCACTGCCTGTCCAGTCCCAGTCGCAGTTGCAGCCGGCCTCTCCGCTGCCTGGTCCTTCTCCTTACTCTGGACCGACTAGAGGTCTTACGGAGCGTCGTGAGCCTGAGTCTCGTCCTGTGTCGCCTGCGTCTCGTTCTGTGTCGCCTGTCCGTACTGTTCGAGCTGGTCGTGTTTCGCGTCCGCGTCCTCCTCCTGTCCCAGGCACTCACTCTATGACCCTGCGTCCTTCTACTGCTCCACAGCGTGTCCCTCTGCCGTCTCCTCCTGCGTCCTCTCTTCCTGACGGTCCGGACCCGGAGTCTGACTCCCTTCGTGCTGCTGGTCCTACTGTCACGCGCTTTCTGGCCACTGCTGTCACTGACCCTCTGTTTGAGTCCACTGCTGCGTCTGCTCTTGTTACTGAGCTCGTTGACTTTGCTGCAGCCTGTCGCCTAGACTACGCCACTAGTCTTGTTGCTGAGTCTGCGTCTGCGTCTGTCTGTCCTCCGTCCGTCGGGGGTGAGTGTGCTCTTGGCACGGACGTTCTTGAGGACAGACAGGAGGAGTTTGAGTGCTTTGCTGCTTTTGTACCTCATCTCGTGTCCATGCTGCTTGCCCTTGAGGGAGACCCGGATGCACTAGACATCCCGACCCCGCGCTCTTACGCAGAGGCGATAGAGGGTCCCTACTCCTCTCAGTGGCAGGCAGCCATGGACGCCGAGATGGCTTCTTGGAAGTCCACAGGCACCTACGTAGATGAGGTTCCCCCACCTGGGGCGAACATCGTCAGTGGCATGTGGATCTTAAGGGTGAAGCGGCCGCCGGGTTCTCCGCCTGCCTTCAAGGCGCGTTACGTTGCACGTGGCTTCAGTCAGCGGCAGGGAGTTGACTTCTTTCAGACCTTCTCCCCTACCCCGAAGATGACCACTCTTCGGGTACTGCTGCACGTTGCTGCTCAGCGTGACTACGAGCTCCACTCCTTGACTTCAGCACAGTCTTCCTACAGGGCAGCCTTCACGAGGAGATCTGGCTGCGCCGCCCACCTGGCTTCACTGGGTCGTTTCCTGCTGGTACCCAGTGGAGCCTCCGGCGGCCAGTCTACGGTCTCCGCCAGGCACCCCGTGAGTGGCACGACACACTCAGGACGACTCTTGCTTCTCTTGGTTTTGCTCCTTCCACTGCTGACCCTTCTCTGTTTCTACGCACTGACACTACTCTGCCGCCGTTCTACGTTCTCGTGTACGTAGACGACCTCGTCTTTGCTACTGCTGACACTGAGGCACTCGCCCACGTGAAGTCCGAGCTGCAGAAGAGACACACGTGCACAGACCTGGGTGAACTGACAAGCTATCTTGGCTTGCGGATCACCCGGGACAGAGCACAGCGCACCATTACCTTTACTCAGTCACACATGGTGCAGCAGGTCCTTCAGCGCTTCGGCTTCACGTACTCCTCGCCACAGTCCACTCCTCTGCCTACCAGTCACTCGCTCTCAGCTCCACCTTCGGACGAGTCCGTAGAGCCGAGTGGCCCGTATCCAGAGCTTGTGGGCTGCCTCATGTACCTGATGACTTGCACACGACCTGACCTCGCATACCCTCTCAGCCTTCTGGCTCGCTACGTGGCTCCCGGCAGGCACCGAAAGGTGCACTGGGATGCTACGAAGAGGGTGTTGCGATACTTGTGCAGTACATCGGGCATGGGGCTCGTGCTTGGAGGACGGGCTCGAGTTGTCCTCACTGGTCACGCTGACGCCTCCTGCGTTGTCGACTTGGCTACGCAGCGGTCGTCACAGGGTTACACCTTCAGTCTTGGTTCCGGCTCTGTCTCTTGGCGGTCTACCCGCTCTTCTTCTGTTCTCAGCTCCAGTTGCGAGGCTGAGATCTACGCTGGGGCCATGGCTGCACAGGAGCTTCGTTGGCTCACCTACCTGCCGACCGACTTGGGAGAGGCGCCTCGTTCTCCTCCAGTTCTGTACGTCGACAACAAGGCCATGCTGGCCTTGTGTCAGGAGCACAGACTGGAGCACAGAACGAAGCACATTGCTCTGCGCTACTTCCTTGCTCGAGAGCTGCAGCAGCGTGGCCAGCTTCGTCTTGCTTACTTGGCCTCTCAGGCCAACACTGCTGATGTTTTCACCAAGGCACTTCAGCCTTGTGATCATCAGCGTTTCTGTACTGTGTTAGGCCTTGTACCCACTGTGCCTCACTTACTTTCTTCTTGACTCTTCCTGTACTGTACTCTATACACATATACCTGCATGCTTACTCTTGCTAGGCTGTATTCACTGTATTGTTGTTCTCCTTTATATAACTCTGCATGTGAACTGGCCTTGTGGCCATTTGCTTGTGCTCAGACTGCGTGGTGACTTTGTGATCCACCCTGAGCTTGCTTTGTCTTTCTTGACTGGTCTTGTGACCCCTTGTTCTCCCCCACTTTGCCTATGGGGGTGTGTCAAACTTATAGTCTGTTTAGGCTGTAGTGGGGTAGTCCTTAGAGGGTACAACACTTTTGTGTTTCCTACTTGTACCCATTTGCTTTCTAGTTCCATCATTCATTCCTGGTTATTCTCACAGACCCGACAACATCGGAGTAGCAGCTGCCACTATTCGAGTTCGCCTACAACAACGCCACATCAACAATGACGCAGTAGTCCCCGTTTTACCTGAACTACGGGCAAAATCCAACAGTGCCCATGACGCCGAGTCCGGACAACCCCACGCCACGCGCACAACAGTTCGCCGAGATCCTGCAAGCTGCCCGAACGCGAGCAGCAGAAGCAATAAAAAAAGCAAATGTCATCGCTAAGAGAAATGCTGACCGCCACTGCCGCCCAGTCACGTATCAGTCAGGAGACTACTTGCTGCTCGACACACAGAATTTAAGACTGTCCGTCGTACCGCAACTTCGACCGCGCTACTGTGGACCGTTCCAAATCAGCCACATGATCACCCCGGTTACCGCCCATTTACTATTGCCGACAGACTGGTACATCAGCCCATCGTTCCACGTCAGCCTTCTTCGCCCATACATTCCGACCACCAGCCAACTATCACGATGACTCGCCCGCCGTCAATGACTCGCCCGACATCGGAGCCGATCATCGAGCCCGAGAAGATTATGAGCCATCGGATTCGTCATCCCACCGGCATCAAGAGGATCGAGTTCCTCGTTCGCTGGAAGGACCGCACGCCAACTGAAGATAGCTGGGTGCCTCTGGCCAACATCGAAAACCACCTGGCCCCTACAAGTGTACCTGAGGAGCCAGGATTTCCGCGATATACACGAACTCGCGTAGCGGAGGGGGCTTCTTGAGGGGGGGGGGGGGGGGGGGGGGTAGTGCAAGGTTTTTTCCAGCATTCTTACCGCGTTCTTCAACATCGCGTACAGCAGCAGCTGTTGTTCGCCAACTTTGCGCGCACTGTTTTATCAAACATTGCACTGCTGGCCTGGCCGAGTCGGCCCTCGCTTCGGGACTAGCCCGAACCTCGATGCCAGCCTAGCACTAGCTAGCTCGCACGCACCGCGTAACCGTTGCATGTTTTCGCACATAAGTATTCACTCATACCTTCGCTCATTTTGTCTTGTACTCGTTTGACACCTATTGCAATCCTAGCTACTTTGATTCATTGCACCCGTAACATACCGATTTGATCAACCTCGTACACTTTCGCAACGCATGTGCAGGGATCAGTGGGTGTTGCGTGGCGCTCCACTCCGACCAAGCTTCATTTGTGTGGGGCGATTCATGTTCCCTGCTGGCTCATTCCTTCCACGTGGATCGCGTCCTCCGCGTGTCGCTTTCTTCCGCTTACACGTGCCGCCTCAAACTCCTTCCGCGCATTACCGCTCTGAAACGTAACACACCCAACGGAAATAAGATGTTCCAGAGCCTTGAGGCGGCAACATAACACCCACTTTGGGAGATTCCTTGATTCTAGAAGGAATCCCCCAAATACCTTGAGGGGGTTGACAAGGATACACCATCAGGCCAACCAGAATGTCCAAACCAGGTAGCGGGTATTTTGAATTTTATCTCTAGATTCCATCATCGCGGCCTGATCATTCCGTGATTCGCGCGCTCAGAGATCAAACCGCGACTCAACGCCATGGAGGCCCTCGTTTCGCGGCAACTTCGTGCCACATTGCCAGCATGGCAACGAGATTCGCTCCGGCCTTGTGGCGCAGTCGCTCCGTCCAATGCGGCGAGATTCGCAACGCAGCGGCGCGATCTCTCCGCGCGATCGACGGAAAGGACAAGTCGGCGGGTTTTTTCGGTGCGAGCGGAAGCATCAGCTGACTCGAGCGTGCCGACCGTTGCTCAAGCTCCTTCGGACCGAGTCCTTCGTAAGCTGAGATGAATAATAATAATAAAGACACACTGTAGATTACTGTTTGACTTCTATGGCAGGGGTCGCATGACGGCTAGCAGCAGCTGCTGCTTCATTGCCCTTTGCTCCTTCGCTCCTTCCCTTCGCCACAACCAACAGTAAAACAGAGGGACGATACTTTGGATATTTGCCGCGTGGTGAACGGCATGTGGCAGAGCAGCAGCGGGGCGTGGGGGTAGGCAGGCAGGGGTCTTATGAGGCCCTTTTCTCCTCTCCGTTCCCCTCCCCTGCGTGTTAACAGTCTAACAGGGGGGCGAGACTTTGGACATTTGTTGTGTGGTGAACGGCATGTGGCAGAGCAGCAGTGGGGCGTGGGGACAGGCGGGGGTCTGATGGGGGATTTCAGTAGCAACTGATTCATCCCCCTCTGCTCCTTCACTCCCTCCTTTCCCCACCTCCCTCTTACCCACACCCACAGTTGAACAGGGCACGGACAGCCTTGACATATGCCGAGTGGTGAACGGCATGTGGCAGAGCAGCAGTGGCGCGTGGGTCGTGGAGGTAGGGGCTTTCGTAGCGCACTCAACAGCGGCTTTCCTCCCTTCTCCCCCACCTCCCCTCCACATTCCAACAGTGGAACAGGGCACGGACAGCCTTGACATATGCCGGGTGGTGAACGGCATGTGGCAGAGCAGCAGCGCGGCGTGGGGACAGGCGGCACCAGATGCAGTTGTGACTGCCATGCTGCAGCATGCTGATGCGGGTCTTACTACCTTCGATATGGCTGATATATGTGAGTGTATTGGAGTGTGGAGTGAGTACAATGGGGTTTGGGAGTGAGCTTATAAGGGGGACACCATCAGTGGGGCGTGGGGACAGGCAGCACCGGATGCGGTGGTGACTGCGATGCTGCAGCATGCTGACGCTGGGCTCACCACATTCGACATGGCTGATATATGTGAGTAGAAGGGAGTGTTGTAGAGTGAGTGTATTGGGTGATTCTATAAGGGGTACAATCAGCAAAGGTGCAGGGTGATACCTGACTCACTATTTTGAATCTCCTGGTGTCTCTCTGTCTTCTCTCACCTCTCTCGCCTCCCCCAGACGGCCCTGCAGAGAGCTATTATGGAGCGATGATTGACAGGCTTAGGAGGGAGCGAGGGGAGGAGGCTGCATTTGGCGTGCAGGGGTGAGTGTGGGTGTGTCTGGAATTGTGTGTGTGAGTGAGTGAGCGAGTGAGTGAGTGAGTGAGTGTGTGGATGGATGTCTGTGTGGTGAGTGCGCGGGTGTGTGCGTGGGTGAATGGCTGTGTGGGTGTGTGGGTGGGTTTATGAGTGGGTGTGTGAGCGGGTGAGTGGGTGTGTTTAAGAGTGCGTGAATGGGTGTGTTTCTCCACCCTCCCCTCTTGGGCCACTGTCCTCTGCTTCTCTGCTCCTCTCCCTTCTGCTCGTCTTCTCCCCTGTAAACCAGTTGCACCAAGTTCGTGCCCAGGCCCGACCCCGCATGACCCTTTTGAGACGTCTCAAAAGTCGTCTGCTCGTCTTCTCCCCTGAAAACCAGTCTCTCCAAGTTTGTCCCAAGGCTTGACCGCAAGGTGGCGAGTCAACTTTGAACAGTCTGCCTTTGTCCACCCTCCTCACTCTTCTCCCCTTCCATTCCCCTCCCATTTAAACTCCTTTTGCTCCTCTCCCACCCACCAGTCTCACCAAGTTCGTCCCCTGCCCTGACCGCGTGACTCGCGGCATGGTGGAGGTGGCGAGTCAACCGGGATGAGCTTGTCTTTCCTGCCGTGCCATTTTCCCGTCTCGTCTCTCCCACCCACCAGTCTCACCAAGTTCGTCCCACGCCCTGACCGCATGACCCGAGACGTGGTGGAGGTGGCAATCAACCGCTCTCGCACTCGTATGCAAGTGAAGACGATTGACCTGCTGCAGTTCCACTGGTGAGTGAGATGGTGTGGTGTGACTAGAACCTGCACGTGTCACTGATATGATATCAGCATTCATCCCACCCACTGCATGGCATGACTCGTGACGTGGTGGAGGTGGCGGTCAACTGATCGCGTCACTCTTTCTGTGTTGTCGTGGAGGTGGCGATCAACCGCTCCCGCACGCGCATACAAGTGAAGACGATCGACCTGCTGCAGTTCCACCGGTGAGACGGTGTGAGATGGGCTACGATGTTCTAGTGTTTTGAAACCAAAGTCATGCCAACTAGCCTTGCTCGCACACGCATACAAGTGAAGACCATCGACCTGCTGCAGTTCCACTGGTGCGTTGATGTGAAGTCGGTTCTACATCGACCTACACTCTGCTGTGGTATTTGAGACGAGGTGACTTTTGAGTCGATTCAAAAGTGGTCTATTCGACTCAAAAGTGGTCTGTTCGACTCGAAAGTGGTCTGTTCGACTCAAAAGTGGTCTGTTCGACTCAAAAGTGGTCTGTTCGACTCAAAAGTGGTCTGTTCGACTCAAAAGTGGTCTGTTCGACTCAAAAGTGGTCTGTTCGACTCAAAAGTGGTCTGTTCGACTCAAAAGTGGTCTGTTCGACTCAAAAGTGGTCTGTTCGACTCAAAAGTGGTCTGTTCGACTCAAAAGTGGTCTGTTCGACTCAAAAGTGGTCTATTCGACTCAAAAGTGGTCTATTCGACTCAGAAGTCACTTTGTGAAGTCGTGTTCTACATCGACCTACTCTCTGTTTTGGAATTCTGAGACGTCCCAGACCAAGGCATGCCTGTATCTGTGTCGTGAAGGAGGTGGGAATCAACCGCTCCCGCACGCGCATGCAAGTCAAGGCCATTGATCTTCTGCAGTTCCCCTGGTGAGATGATGAGAGATCAGATTGACCGGAATCTTAAAGGCACTCGTCCCCTTTTGCATTATCTCCTCTTCCCTCTCGCTTCCGTCCCATCCCCATCCCCCTCCCCATTCCCAGGTGGGTTTATACCAACCCCGGGTATGTAGATGTCTTGAAGCACCTCACAGACCTCAAGTAGGAGGGGAAAATCAAAGCACTTGTCTTCCTTCACCTTACCTCCTTTCCTCTCCTCTCCTCCCTCTCACCTCCGTTCCTCATCCCCACCACCACCACCACCACTGCCACCACCACCACTGCCACCACCACTACCAGGTGGCATTACAGCAACCCCGGGTACCTGGACGCATTGAAACACCTCACAGTCCTCTTTGAGGAGGGGAAGATCAGGACAATCAGTATTGATATCTTGCCGTCTCATGCCCTTTCATCCTGCTTCCTGCTCTCCCTGTGACCTCCTATCCCCGTCCCATTCCCCACTCTCAGGTGGGATTACAGTAACCCCGGGTACGTAGACGTGTTGAAGCACCTCACAAACCTCAAGGAGGAGGGGAAGATGGGGGGAGGATGAGCTCTCTTGTATTCCTTTACCTTATTATCCCTCTCCTCCTTTCTTTCCTCCCCCCCTCCCCATTCCCAGGTGGGACTACACCAACCCCGGGCACCTAGACGCGTTGAAGCACCTCACAGACCCCAAGGAGGAGGGGGGATCAATGCCCTTGGGCTTAATGCCTCCTTGTCGTCTCATGCCCTCTCTCCCTTCCCACTGCTCCCTGATCGCCCTCCAACCACCACCACCACCATTCCCAGGTGGGATTACAGCAACCCCGGGTATCTAGACGCATTGAAGCACCTCACAGACCTCAAGGAGGAGGGGAAGATCAAAGGGCTCACTACTCCCTTCCTTCCCACTGCTCCCTGCTCTCCCTCCTTGTCGTGTCATGCCCTCCCTTCCTTCGTCCCACTGCTTTCTGCGCCCTGTCCTTCTCCCCGTCAACAGGTGGGACTATACCAACCCAGGGTATCTAGACGCGTTGAAGCACCTCAAGGAGGAGGGGAAGATCTATCAAGGCCAGGGCTCTTGTATTCCTTTTCTCAGTCATCTTTCTTCTCCTTACCTCTCCCCCTCTCGATTCTCAGGTGGGACCATACCAACCCCGGGTATCTAGACGCGTTGAAGCACCTCACAGATCTCAAGGAGGAGGGGGGGGAGATTGAAGCCATTGGCCTGACTCGTTCTCGTTCCATGCCCCCCCTTCCTTCCCACTGCTCCCTGCTCTCCTACCCCACTCCCCATTACCAGGTGGGATTACAGCAACCCCGGGTACCTGGACGCCTTGAAGCACCTCACAGACCTCAAGGAGGAGGGGAAGATCAAAGCCATTGGGCTGACCAACTTTGACACCAAGCGGCTGCAAGTGATCCTTGAGAATGGAATTCCCATTGTCAGCAACCAGGTGAGAAAGAGCGGAGCAAGATCAGTAGGTAGGTTCGCAGGTTAAGGAGGAGGGGAAGATCAAAGCCATTGGGCTGACCAACTTTGACACCGCCTGGCTGCAAGTGATCCTTGAGAACGCCATTCCCATCGTCAGCAACCAGGTGAGGAGGAGGAGCAACCAGGAAAGAAGAGGAGCACAATCAGCAAGTCGTTCTTCTGGTCGGAAGCAGACCAGGAGGAGGCGGAGAGACGTTCCTTTCTTGGTGCTATTTTTGAGTCGACTCAAAAAAGACCAGGAGGAGGCGGAGAGGCGTTCCTTTCTTGGTGCTAACGCAGATGAGTAGCAGGCCATAGGGCTGACCAACTTTGACACCACGCGGCTGCAAGTGATCCTTGAGAACGCCATTCCCATCGTCAGCAACCAGGTGAGAAGGAAAGGAACTTGTTCCCTTTTATCAATTGGGAGTGAGGTAGGGAGGAGGGGAAGATCAAGGCCATTGGGCTGACTAAGTTTGACACCACGCGGCTGCAAGTGATCCTTGAGAACGCCATTCCCATCGTCAGCAACCAGCTATGTGGTTTCGTTTCGTACCCTTGATAGCCCTCTGCTCAAAACTCTTTCCCCTTCATAGCGGATGGGTGAACGCACTTCCTCCCTTATCCCACCCTATCCTCACCGTGGTTTGAACTGCAGGTGCAGCACAGCCCAGTGGACATGCGTCCGCAGCAGCAGATGGGTTGAGGCAATTCCTCCTTTCCCCAGTCCACGCTGTTCTCTTGTCCCCCCCTTTATCATCCGAGCCGCAGGTGCAGCACAGCCCAGTGGACATGCGTCCGCAGCAGCAGATGGGTTGAGGCGATTCCTCCTTTCCCCAGTCCACGCTGTTCTCTTGTCCCCCCCTTTATCATCCGAGCCGCAGGTGCAGCACAGCCCAGTGGACATGCATCCGCAGCAGCAGATGGGTTGAGCCGCCTCCTCCCATCCCCCCGCCACCCACATCGTCCCCTTATACCCCCTCTATCCTCCGAACCGCAGGTGCAGCACAGTCTAGTGGACATGCGCCCGCAGCAGCAGATGGCTCAGCTTTGTGCTCTTACAGGGGTGCAGCTTATCACGTGAGTGGCTTATAACGAGAGTTGCTCATGAGTGGCTTATAACAAGAGTGGATTGTAACGTGAGTGGCTTATAATGAGAGTGGCAGAACATGGATAGCATATCACGTGACCTTTCTATGTTCGTTTCTAGTTACCACTGATTATAGTAACATATATTCTGATTATAGTTTCTAGTTAGAATGTTCTGAACGAAACATATATTCTTTAAGTTGCTCGCCAAGGAACCCACCAAAACACTCATTTGTCTGTATTATCTCCATGTACTCCAGTCTGAAAAATGCAGCTACGGCACTGTAATGGGGGGGCTACTATCAGAGAAGTATCTGCACGCCAAGGAGCCCAACAGCATGTTTACCACTCTTTGTATCCCCAATATTGATTTTCGTTCACTGCAACTACGGCACTGTAATGGGTGGGCTATTATCGGAGAAGTATCTGCACGCCAAGGAACCCAACAGCATGTTTGGCCCGCGCCTTGCCACGCCCTCTCTCAACAAGTACAAGCAGGTGAGAGGGAGGGGGCTTGTGAGTGAGTCAACTCTAAAGGTTAAGCCTCTATCAAGGTCACACCTGCATGCGAAGGAGCCCAACAGCATGTTCGGTCCTCGCCTCGCTACTCCCTCTCTGAACAAGTACAAGCCGCTGTGAAACAGTCAATCTAGAAATTGCTATATGCGCCTCTTTTTCAGTCTTCTGCCTTGCCACTCTGTCTCTCAAAAGTCTCTCAAAAAGTACAAGCGGTAAGCGGAGGGGGAAATGGCAGGGTGGATTCGGAGAATTAGGAGGAGTAGATGCAGGCCTTTTGAGGCGCCTCAAAAGTCAAAAGTCCTCAAAAGTTTTGAGGCGCCTTAAAAGCGGAGGGGGAAGTTGCAGGGTGGAGTCGGAGAATTAGGAGGAGGAGTAGATGCAGGCCCCCCTGCCTTGCTTCTATGGAGTCGACTCAAAAGCAGCACATACAAAACCGTTGTACCTCCCATCACACACTCTCTTCCCCACCCCACACATGCCCGTTTACTTTTGAGTCGACTCAAAAGTCACCTCCCATCACACACTCTCTTCCCCACCCCACACATGCCCGTTTTTTTCAGATGGTGGATGTGTGGGGCGGCTGGGCGCTGTTCCAGGAGCTTCTGAGGGAGTGTGAGACTGCCTCCTACCGCATACATATCTGTTCTACCTACCTCCTATCATCCTCTCATACCCACCCCCACCATCCCACCGTTTTACGCAGATGGTGGATGCGTGGGGCGGCTGGGCGCTGTTCCAGGAGCTTCTGAGGGAGTCTGAGACAGTGGCAAAGAAGCACGGGGTTACAATCGCTGCAGTAGCCGTGCGCTCTATTCTCGACCAGGTAACTATCTCAAGCGAGATCCAGACATAGCTCAGGATGCACACACACCGGGGTTAAAAACTGTCTCAAGCATGTGCAACATGCACATATGCACACATGCACACATGCACATATGCACATATGCACACACACCAGGTGGCTCTAAAAACACTCAAGAAGCACAGGATTACAATTTTCTGCAGTGGCTGTACACTCCATTGTCTACCAGGTAAATGTGGATTCACAAAACTATACTTGACTTGCAACTGGAACATAACGAATTTCCGTTCTACCCTGCTCTTATCGCTCCCCTCCCCCTTCCTGCCAAAAAACAGCCACCAGTAGCAGTGTGAATGGTGGGTGTGAGGCTGGGCCTGCAGCAACACATTGCGGACAACAAGATCTTGAATCGCAACAGGGATGAACATAATAATCATATTTCTCTCATTGCACCCCTTCTCATCTATTGCCAAAGCAGCCGGCAGTAGCAGCATCAATGGCGGGCCTGCAGCAACACATCGCAGACAACAGGATCTATGAATTCAACTTGACATTACCTATCTCCCCTGCTCTTATCGCTCCCTTTCCCCCTTCCTGCCAAAACAGCCAACGGTGGCAGCATCGATGGTGGGCGTGAGGCTGGGCCTGCAGCAGCACATCGCAGACAACAAGGTGATCTTTGGTTTGAAATTGGACGATGAGGATCGCGCAAGGATCACCAGTGTCACCAGCAGGGGCCGGGACCTTCTTGCTGTGATTGGTGACTGCGGGGACGAGTACAGGTAGAGGTCACTTCAACAGGACTCATTCATTGACCATACTGTCCCTTTCATATTTGACTTGCGATCGGGCAATGAGGATCGGGCAAGGGTTATCCTTTCATATTTGACTTGATGGTATCAGTGTTACCAGCGGAGGCCGGGACTCCGTTGAAGTAATTGGTAATTTCGGGGATGAGTACAGGTAGAAATCTCTTCAACAGGTTACATGACTCTCTTATAATAGACATATATGATATCCTGTACATGCACATGCATCAACGTAGCATAGACAACATTACCTACTAACTAAGGCGTGTTGGAAGCGAGCCACCAGAGCATGTTGGTCTTGGAGTTACCATCATCAATAGCACCTAGAGCAGCAATGTTCATCCTGGCCCCCTGCGGGTTGTACAGCGCCTGTAGTGCCCACGCAAAGCCGCGCCACTCGTCCGTGGTGGCGCCACTCAGCACGGGTTGCGCCCACTCCACCAGCTGCTTAGCAAACTCGAGGTCAGGGAAGAGATGCTTGAGGTAGGGCGTTACGGGCAGCACCTGGATGCCCACACGCTTCTCCATGTCCGCCGGCGGGGCGAACCACAGCGTCGCATCACGCTTGGTGGACCACAACACACCCACCACACGGTTGGCGTCTGCAAACACCGCCTCGTATGCGGGCGACAGGGACGGCTCCGGGGCGGATGAGCCGAGTGGCACGTGCATGAGGGTCTGCCCGGCGACGGCCTCCACGGCTGCGAGTGTGGCGCCCAGCGAGGCGAGCGGCTGGTCGCCCAGCACGGAGGCCAGCAGCGCCCCCACATAGTACGCGTTGGCCGCCTCGCTGAAGCTCTCCTGGTTGCGCCCGTCGCCGAACTCAAACAGCCCGCTGGCCCACGAGTGCAGCGCGTACGCGTCAAAATGCCGCAGCCTTGGGAATGCCGCCGTGCGCTCCGGCGACATGTAGTCCGCCATCAGGTCCTTGAGCGCCGCACGGTACTGGTCGCGCCACGCGGGGTCGAACTTGGCGACGGTGGCAGCGGCGTAGATGAAGTAGCCGTAGTGGAAGTGGTGGTCGTTGTACATGCCCGCTCCAAACTCCGCCCCCTGGTCAAGCGACCCCGCCTCGCTCACCACGCCGCCCCACAAGGGGTCGTACAGCAGGCGGTTACCGGGGAAGGTGCCGTCCAGCCATGCGGAGAGCGCGGATCGCAGGGGCGGCAGCACGGCGGCCAGGCTGTCGTCATCTTGCACCTGCTTCGCGATCAGCGCCAGGCGGACGGCGCGCGCCGCTGTCTTGCCGAAAAAGTAGGTGGAGGGGGAGGAGAGGGGCGGCAGCGCGGCCACGTCCTGCTTGAGGCTGGTCCTCAGCTCGTCCTGCAGCTGGGGGTCGGACGAGAGGGGCCCCGGACACCACGTGGAGGGGCGCTTGGGCACATTGAGGTGCCACACCGCCCCCTGCATGCCCACACCCTGGCCGTCGATGGTGGGGTATGCCAGCACCGATGCATCCGGCACCGACGCATCTCGCACGGACGACCATGGTGCACTGCTGCGTGCGTTGGAGGGGGCGGCAGAGGCGGGGTTGTGGTGGCCGCGGAGGGCGCCCATGGCGCCTGAGGGTGAACCGCTGCTGTGACGGCGGAGGGTGGAGGGAAGGGAGGGGCTGTGCGCGCTCACTTCCATACGCGGGTGCACTGGTCATGGGAGAGGGAGGGGGAGAGGGGACAGAGAAGGAACAAGGGAGAAGGGGGTTAGCTTGACGGACAGATGATGAGGGCATTCCAGGTGACGTAGCAGCACACATGGCAACACAAGTGGCAGCACGGCGCTACTCACTTGGCAGCGAGAGCATGAGCAGCGGCGCCTCGGTGTCGCCGTTAGCCGGCTTGCGCCACTGCTGGGTGCGCCAGGTGTACTCGATGCAGAACGCGCCCACCTGCGCGCTCCCCCCCACCGGCACCGTGGGCACGTGCGCGTCCAGCAGCGCCTCCTCGCCCTGCGGGGAGGCGCCCGGCAGCAGCGCCACGCGCATCGTCCCCGTGAATGGCGCATCCGCCACTAGTGTCGACCCATCCTGCCGCATCGCCAGTGGCGACGACAGGTACAGCAGCCACGTCTGGTGGGGGGTAAGGAGGGGTGGAGAGGGGAAATGAGTGGGGAGGGGGGTGGTGAGTACAAAACGTGAGGAAGCGGAGTGGGTAGATAGGTGGGACAATGAGCGAGTGAGAGGTGGGTACGTGTTTGAAGAATGTAGGGAATGGGGCTCGTGCCAGAGTGGGAGCGGGGAGCTGACCTGGCCGTTGTTGAGAGCGATACGGTACTTGCTGCTGTCGCCGCTGGGCTCCACGCCCGTGATGGCATGAATCGTCGTCAGCACGGGCGTCGCTGGGGGTCCGCCCGGGGGGAATATGAACGTGAGGAAGGGAGACCCGCGCACCAGGGGGACCTCGAGCGCGGGGGGATCGGAGGGCGCGGAGGAGGGTTGGCGGAAGGAGAGGGTGGCGGAGAGGTCGTCGTAGGCGGAGAGCTGATGGGGGGGAAGGCCCTGCAGCGTGGAGAGCATGAGCGCCGTCACAAACGCCTGCACGATGTACCCCGGTTGGGGGTCGCGCACCGGCAGCCCCCACGCGACGCGCCCCTCCGCGCTCTGCACCACGTACGGCGTCACGAGCTCGGGGTTGCCGCCCTGCCCCAGCACGAAGTTCTGCCACGGCGCGTTCGTCGGGTACGGCGCCTGGGGAAGGGGAAAGAGGGGGAGTTGAGCAGGATGAGGGGAAAGGAGGGATGAAAGCACGAGGAACAGAGAGCGCGCTCAGATGGGGGAAGCGGAGAGCGCGCGCCGACTGGGGAGGGCTGGGGAACTCACGGTGAGGTTGGCGGACCAAAGGGAGGAAGGCGCGGGAGCGACAGTGGAGGAGAGCGCGGGGAAGGCCGCCGACGCCATGGCGGCGGGGATCAGACGCGCTCGGAGTGCAGCGGAGATGGGACGCGCACAGAGTGCGGCGGGGATGACAGGAGGAACGAGCTTGGCGGGTTTGGCAAGGCAAGGCTGCACGCTGGGCGGGTGGGTGCGGTGAGGCGCCCGCCGTGAAGGTCAGTTGCGGTCGGGGGGTTTGAAGGCGCTAAATCGGTGCTGCCGGACGGAGGATGGCTGTTGCGCCAGTGATGATTCGTAGACTCTGTGATCGCGGGAGCTACTAAATTTATCACTTCGTCGTGGCCGTGTGATGTCACATCCCATGATGGCAGTGACGCCATGGCGCCGCCGGATGCGGCGGACCGTCGGGCCCGCGACACGTGAATCAGTCGGGCACGCGGAATTCGAGTTCGCCACACTGCTACGACAGAGTCGTGGGCTCTCACTTCAGTCGAACCGCTTGCTTGAATTCAACGGTCATCAACTTCTCCACACCACAGTAATGCGGCAATGCGGCACTTATGACTGATTGAATTGAAGGTACCTGCCCTGCTCCAACTCTGCGCCATCCTTTGTTTGCCCTCCCTGGTACACGCGTGCAGTGCAAGGTTGGAATGGCACAGGACAGGAGCAACCCACCCACCTCGCCTCGCCTGTTACCCTCTTTCAGAAATGCGTGCGCGATGTTCCAGTCGGGCATTAACGACGAATGCGAAAAGCTGCTGAGACGTCGTAAGTCTCGCAAGCACCTTGTTCTTCGAGGTTCAGCGAACGTGCAGGTGAAGTCGAGATGGGCTCAGCACGGCATTCGTCTCTGCGTTTGATTTGAACCAAAAAAATTTGTTGGGTTGCGTAGCAACCCTATACATTTGGTAGCACTTTTTGGTCGACTCAAATGAACAGTGCAGTTTTTGTCATTTTCCCAACGTTCCAAACCACTCGTTTTAATGCTTTGATAACGAGTGTTCTGAATGTGTGGAGATGACAGCACTGATACACACGAGTCTCCAAAAAGGTGAAACCAAATGTGACCTATCATTCCATAATCGTCGATAAATACGGCGAATGGAACAATTGGTCATCACCGAACACAATTGACTAGAAAAACACCCACTGATCATGAATGCAAATCATGCGCGTGCATCCATTGAACACAAACAAAAACAACACATAACAACTGCGAGTGAATGCTTAACTGCATCGAAGCTACAATAGAGATGGTTCCTGTATGCTAAGGTGAGCAACGCTGCCCCAACAACGATCCCCGCCTCAAATGCAGACCCGACCCCCTTTAACATCACACCTCAGTTGCATAACACGTGCAAAAACAACACAGAACAACTGCGAGTGAATGCTAAAATGCATCGGTGCTACAACAGTGGTGGTTCCGGTATGCTAAGGCGAGCAACGCTGCCCCAACAACAATCCCCACCTCAAATGCAGACCCGACACACTTCAACATCACACATCAGTTGCATACACAAGACAGACAGGTGCAACTAGACAAACGCACATATCGCACACACAGGCTCACACGCGAACGTACACACACGCATAAGCACACGAACACACTGACACGCACGCAAACAACCACAGATAGGTACAGGGACCGTAATAAACACGCAACTGTCATGAATAAAATTCAGAAATGCATAAATAATTGCTAGCCTATCCCACCTTACCCTCCCTACAACCCTCCCTCCCTCCTTCCCTCATCTCCATCCCACTCCCTCCCTCATCTCCCTTCTCAGCTCACGTGCCCTGCACAAAGCAAAAACAGAGAATTCAACACCCACATGCCCTGCACAAAGCAAAAACAGGGAAGTCAACACCCCCATGCCCTGCACAAAGCAAAAACAGAGAAGTCAACACCCCCATGCCCTGCACAAAGCAAAAACAGAGAAGTCATCACACACACGCCCTGCACAAGAAAGCAAGAACAGAGAAAGCAACAGAGAAAGCAACAGAGAAAGCAACAGCACACCTTGCCAGCGCCCAAGCGTTAGAGCCCACTAGCTCGCTAGTTGCCAGCGGCCTAGACGAACGTCCGAGGCGCCAACAGCTTAGAAGCCGGCACTCTAAGCGCTAGTGCAGAAAGTGACACTCATTTGTATAAGTAGCCCCGGTTGCCCAAGCACCAGCAGAATAGATGCTAGTGCCTACGCCCCAGCATGCTCACGCGCTCCCTCACGCGCTCTCTCACGCGCTCTTTCACGCGCTCTCTCACGCGCTCTCTCACGCGCTCTCTCACGCGCTCTCTCACGCGCTCTCTCACGCGCACTCACTCACACTCTCACAGGCACTCTCACGTGCACTCTCACACGCTCTCTCACACACTCTCTCACGCGCTCTCTCACGCGCTCTCTCAGGCGCACTCTCACGCGCACTCTCTCGCGCTCTCTCTCGGGCACTCTCGCGCACATTCGCTCTCTCACGCACTCTCTCACGCGCTCTCTCACGTGCTCTCTCTCACGCGCTCTCTCACGCGCTCTCTCATGTGCTCTCTCTCACGCGCTCTCTCATGCGCTCTCTCACGCGCTCTCTCGCGCACTCTCTTCTGCGCACTCTCACGCTCTCTCACGCGCTCTCAAGCGCGCTCTCATACGCACCCTCACGCGCTCTCTCACGCGCTCTCTCACGCGCTCTCTCACGTGCTCTCTCACGCGCTCTCTCACGCGCTCTCTCACGCGCACTCACTCACACTCTCACGGGCACTCTCACGTGCACTCTCACACGCTCTCTCACGCGCTCTCTCACGCGCACTCTCTCGCGCTCTCTCTCGGGCACTCTCGCGCACATTCGCTCTCTCACACGCTCTCTCACGCGCTCTCTCACGTGCTCTCTCACGCGCTCTCTCACGCGCTCTCTCACGCGCTCTCTCACGCGCTCTCTCACGCGCTCTCTCACGCGCTCTCTCACGCGCTCTCTCAGGCGCACTCTCACGCGCACTCTCTCGCGCTCTCTCTCGCGCACTCTCGCGCACATTCGCTCTCTCACACGCTCTCTCACGCGCTCTCTCACGTGCTCTCTCTCACGCGCTCTCTCACGCGCTCTCTCATGTGCTCTCTCTCACGCGCTCTCTCATGCGCTCTCACGCGCTCTCTCGCGCGCTGTCTCCTGCGCACTCTCATGCTCTCTCACGCGCTCTCAAGCGCTCTCTCATACGCACCCTCACGCGCTCTCTCACGCGCTCTCTCACGCGCTCTCTCACGCCCTCTCACACGCGCCCTCTCACATGCGCTCTCTCACGCCCTCTCACACGCGCTCTCTCACGCTCTCTCTCACGCGCTCTCTCACGCGCTCTCTCACGCTCTCTCTTTCGCGCTCTCTCTCGCGCACTCTCCCACACATTCTCTCTCTCACGCGCTCTCTCACGCGCTTTCTCACGCGCTCTCTCAAGCGCTCTCTCACGCGCACTCTTACGCGCTCCCTCACGCGCACTCTCACGCGCACTCTCACGCGCTCTCTCTCGCGCACTCTCACGCGCATTCTCTCTCTCACGCGCTCACTCACGCGCTCTCTCACGCTCACTCTCACGCTCACTCTCACGCGCTCTCTCACGCGCACTCTCAGGCACACTCTCATGCTCTCTCACGCGCTCTCTCACGCGCTCTCTCACGCTCACTCTCACGCACACTCTCACGCTCTCTCCCGCGCTCTCTCGCGCGCACTCTAACGCGCACTCACGCGCACTCACGCGCACCCACGCGCACTCTCACGCGCACTCTCACGCGCACTCTCGCGCACTCTCTCACACGCTCTCTCATGTGCTCTCTCTCACGCGCTCTCTCATGCGCTCTCTCACGCGCTCTCTCGCGCGCTCTCTTCTGCGCACTCTCACGCTCTCTCACGCGCTCTCAAGCGCGCTCTCATACGCACCCTCACGCACTCTCTCACGCGCTCTCTCACGCGTTCTCTCACGTGCTCTCTCACGCGCTCTCTCACGCGCACTCACTCACACTCTCACGGGCACTCTCACGTGCACTCTCACACGCTCTCTCACGCGCTCTCTCACGCGCACTCTCTCGCGCTCTCTCTCGGGCACTCTCGCGCACATTCGCTCTCTCACACGCTCTCTCACGCGCTCTCTCACGTGCTCTCTCACGCGCTCTCTCACGCGCTCTCTCACGCGCTCTCTCACGCGCTCTCTCACGCGCTCTCTCACGCGCTCTCTCATGCGCTCTCTCACGCGCTCTCTCGCGCGCTCTCTCGCGCGCTCTCTCCTGCGCACTCTCACGCGCTCTCAAGCGCTCTCTCATACGCACCCTCACGCGCTCTCTCACACGCTCTCTCACGCACTCTTTCACGCGCTCTCTCACGCGCTCTCTCACGCGCTCTCTCACGCGCTCTCTCACGCACTCTCTCACGTGCTCTCTCTCATGCGCTCTCTCATGCGCTCTCTCACGCGCTCTCTCGCGCGCTCTCTCCTGCGCACTCTCACGCTCTCTCACGCGCTCTCTCACGCGCTTTCTCGCGCGCTCTCTCACGCGCTCTCTCACGCGCTCTTTCACGCGCTCTCTCACGCGCTCTCTCATGCGCTCTCTCACGCGCTCTCTCACGCGCACACACTCACACTCTCATGGGCACTCTCACGTGCACTCTCACACGCTCTCTCACACGCTCTCTCACGCGCTCTCTCACGCGCTCTCTCACGCGCTCTCTCAGGCGCACTCTCACGCGCACTCTCTCGCGCTCTCTCTCGCGCACTCTCGTGCACATTCGCTCTCTCACACGCTCTCTCACGCACTATCTCACGTGCTCTCTCTCACGCGCTCTCTCACGCGCTCTCTCACGTGCTCTCTCTCACGCGCTCTCTAATGCGCTTTCACGCGCTCTCTCGCGCGCTCTCTCCTGCGCACTCTCATGCTCTCTCACGCGCTCTCAAGCGCTCTCTCATACGCACCCTCACGCGCTCTCTCACGCGCTCTCTCACGCGCTCTCTCACGCCCTCTCACACGCGCCCTCTCACACGCGCTCTCTCACGCCCTCTCACACGCGCTCTCTCACGCTCTCTCTCACGCGCTCTCTCACGCGCTCTCTCACGCTCTCTCTTTCGCGCTCTCTCTCGCGCACTCTCCCGCACATTCTCTCTCTCACTCGCTCTCTCACGCGCTTTCTCACGCGCTCTCTCAAGCGCTCTCTCACGCGCACTCTTACGCGCTCCCTCACGCGCACTCTCACGCGCACTCTCACGCGCTCTCTCTCGCGCACTCTCACGCGCATTCTCTCTCTCACGCGCTCACTCACGCACTCTCTCACGCTCACTCTCACGCTCACTCTCACGCGCTCTCTCACGCGCACTCTCAGGCACACTCTCATGCTCTCTCACGCGCTCTCTCACGCGCTCTCTCACGCGCTCTCTCACGCTCACTCTCACGCACACTCTCACGCTCTCTCCCGCGCTCTCTCGCGCGCACTCTAACGCGCACTCACGCGCACTCACGCACACCCACGCGCACTCTCACGCGCACTCTCACGCACACTCTCGCGCACTCTCTCACACGCTCTCTCGCGCGCTCTCTCCTGCGCACTCTCACGCTCTCTCACGCGCTCTCTTATGCGCTCTCTCATACGCACCCTCACGTGCTCTCTCACCCGCTCTCTCACGCGCTCTCTCACGCGCTCTCTCATGTTCTCTCTCATGCACACCCTCACGCGCTCCCTCACGCGCTCTCTCACACGCTCTCTGACGCGCTCTCTGACGCGCTCTCTGACGCGCTCTCTGACGCGCTCTCTCACGCGCTCTCTCACGCGCACTCTTACGCGCTCTCTCACGCGCACTCTCACGCACATTCTTTCTCGCGCACTCTCACGCGCATTCTCTCTCTCACGCGCTCTCTCATGCTCACTCTTACGCACACTCACGCTCTCTCACGCGCTCTCTCACGCGCTCTCTCATACGCAACCTCACGCGCTCTCTCACGCGCTCTCTCCTGCGCTCTCTCACGCGCTCTCTCACGCGCTCTCTCACGCGCTCTCTCACGCGCTCTCTCACGCGCTCTCTCACGCGCTCTCTCACGCGTTCTCTCGCGCGCTCTGTCCTGCGCTCTCTCCTGTGCGTTCGCTCCCGTGCATACGCTCTCCCTCGCGCTCCGTCTCTCCCCTTCGTCAAATGAAAGTGCAATGCAAGAGGAGACCAATTGACACACAAAATTTACGAAGAGAGCAAAAAAAAAAAGGGGGAAAATTCTGAGGGTGGAAGGAGGATGAAAGGACCGGGAACGCACCTGATAACCACGGTGCCTTGGAAAACAACCCGCGCTGGCGCACCAATCCGCGCTCGCGCACCAACTCGCGGTTGCGCTCGTGCACCTGTCGCCGGAGGCGACGGCGGGGAGGAGGGAGAGGCGACGGCGGGGAGGAGGGAGAGGCGACGGCGGGGAGGAGGGAGAGGCGACGGCGGGGAGGAGGGAGAGGCGACGGCGGGGAGGAGGGAGAGGCGACGGCGGGGAGGAGGGAGAGGCGACGGCAGGGAGGAGGGAGAGGCGACGGCGGGGAGGAGGGAGAGGCGACCGTGAGGAGGAGGGAGAGGCGATGGCGGGGAGGAGGGAGAGGCGACGGCGGGGGAGGAGGGAGAGGCGACGGCGGGGCGGAGGGAGAGGCGACGGCGGGGAGGAGGGAGAGGCGACGGCGGGATGGAGGGGAGGCGACGGCGGGATGGAGGCGGGGCGACGGCGGGATGGAGGCGGGGCGACGACGGGATGGAGGGAGAGGCGACGGCGGGATGGAGGGGAGGCGACGGCGGGATGGAGGGAGAGGCGACGGCGGTATGGGAGAAGAGGCGGCGGCAGGATGGGAGGGAGTCGCGACGGTGGGGTGGGAGGGAGTGGGCGATGGCGGGGTGTGAGGGAGAGGCGACAGGGGGGTGGGAGTGAGAGGCTGTAATGCCCAAGACTATTATAATGGCGGTTACCAGGCTTTTATAATATTCCAATACAAAATAGTAGCTCTAACTAGCCTTAATAGCCTTGGAGATGAAGATCTTCTTAATGCCTTTGATGGAAAACACTTGGAATAGTAGTGTAGGGAAGCTTGTGAGAGAGCCAAAATGACTTAGCCAAATAATCCCATTTCCAATTGTTTAGTTGGAGTGGGAGGTTGAGAATGAGCTTGCTTAGCTCAGACCCCCTCAATACACCCCTTGGGGAACTATCCCAACCATGGTTTCCATGGTGGGATGGTTCCTAGGCTTGGAGCCTATGTGGCAATTAGTTGGGTTGGGAAAACCCAACCTAGAACCATTGAATGGTTGTTTTTAAGATAGAGTAGATTGTTACACTGAATTGGCAATTTCTGATTGGTTGGAAATCCAACCTTCAACATTCCACTTTGATGGGTTGGAATTTCCCAAACCTATTGGTTGAGGTTTGGAATTCCCAACCCAACCCTTTCTCTCCCAACTCAACCCTTCACTCACTCGTAGCCCAATAACTATCGAGAGCAATCTCGACGAATGCCTTTGAGTGTTAGGTTGTTAGCTAGGGAGTTAGGCGAGAAGTAGGTCGATGCGTTACACTCCTCCCCCCCCAGGTGGCAACGTCCCCGTTGCCCCAGGGTGCTTCTTAGGACGAGTGCTTCGAGCCCGGCGCACCACATTACGACCAGGGTCAACCCCGTCCACTGGTTGTGGGCCTGCTCGTAGAGCCAGGTCTTCCATATACGCTTGAACCGCTACTTTGGTCAAGTGTTCCTCAGGCTCCCAAGAGTTGTGTTCCGGCCCATAGCCTTTCCACTGAATTAGGAACTCACGAACTGTTTTGCGGCCGCGTTGTTGATCACGGTGCGTTAGCACACGTTCGACTTCATAAAAGAGTTCCTCCCCGAGAACGATGGTTGGTGGTGGTAAGTACTTGCCTTCTGCAACATACTTATTCAACAGAGACACGTGGAAGACGTTGTGAATCTGCAATGTCGCAGGCAACTTGAGCCTGTATGCGACCTCACCAACTCGCGCAATCACCTCGAAGGGCCCAATCCAACGAGGGAAGAGCTTTCGTGCTCCCGGGATCTTGAGACGAATATTCTTCGTGCTCAGTAATACTTTGTCGCCAACTGCAAAGACGACTTCCCGGCGTTTCATGTCGGCATAGGACTTTTCCCTCTGTTGGGCAAGCTGTAGCCAGTGACGAGCGGACTTCAATGCCGCTTGCTGCTTTCCAATAAAGTCCTTCGCGGCGGGGATTTTGAGGCTCTTAATCCCATGCGTCGCAGGGGTTGTGGGGTGCCGACCACAGTTCAGGACAAAGGGTTTCTCATGGGTGCTTTCATGCACATAATTGTTTACAGCGAATTCTACGACTAGCAACAATTCATCCCAATCGTCTTGAGTTGGGCTTATAAAAGAACGAAGCATTTGTTCAAGGGTGCGGTTGCTCCGCTCTGTCTGTCCATCCGTTTGTGGGTGGAAAGCAGACATCGTGAGTTTCGTTCCTAGTGTCTTAATGACCTCTTGCCAGAATCGGCTTGTGAAGCGCGGGTCTCGGTCAGACACCATCACACGAGGCAAACCGTGTAAGCGGAAAACGTGCGTCACAAACAACTTTGCCGTATCCTCTGCAGACACGTCAGACGTCGTGGGCATGAAGTGCACCATTTTGGTCAAACGATCTACAAACACTAGTATCGCCGTATGACCATCTCGCGTCTTGGGGAGATCGGTGATAAAATCCATCGATACACTCTCCCAAGGTTCATCGGGAATCTCAAGTGGTTGAAGCAAACCACCAGGCTTCTGTGTGCTCGGCTTGTTCCGTGCACACGTGTCACAGCGAGTTACAAACTTCTGGACCTCAATGCCCAATCGCGGCCACCAGTATACATCACTGAGGGCCGACCGGGTTTTCTTGACACCCAGGTGTCCTCCATACTTAGTGGCGTGCACCTCTGCTAGAATATCATTCCGCAGGTTTCCCATATGTGGGACAACAATTTCTTTCTTGTGCCACCAGAGCTCATGCTCCCACAAGAGATCCTTTGTATTCTGTGGGTTCCGAAACCAAGGGTCAATATCATACCCTGCGCGAATGCGTTTCAGAAAACCACCAAAGGCAATCTCACTCACTCGAGCAGCTGCGAGGATGTTGAAACAAGCAGCAAACACTGCTTCATGTTCATTATCATCAACACCCGTTGCTGCACCAATCGGCTGTCTGCTCAGAGGATCAGCCATGTTTGTCGAGCTCGCTCGATATCGAATATCATAGGTGAACCCACTGAGGAGTTCAGCCCATCGAGCCTGACGGCGGGTGAGTGTGGCTTGAGTGGCAAAATAGGTGTTCGGACAGTGGTCGGTCGTGACCACGAAGCCAACACCTTCGAGATAACATCTCCATGTTCGTAGCGCATGCACAACTGCCAACAATTCCTGTTCGGAAGTTGTATAGCGCTGCTCAGCCGGTGAAAGCTTTCTACTCTCAAATGCCACGGGGCGTCCTTCATGCAAAAGAACTGCTCCAATCCCTACTGTCGAGGCATCAGTTACCACCTCGTAGGGCTTGGACGGGTCTGGCAAAGCCAGCACTGGAGCATTGGTCAGCATGGTTTTCACCTCCTCAAATGCCTTCTGGCATTGATCGGTCCACTGCCAAGCATTACCCTTACGAGTGAGGGCAGTCAGTGGAGCGACTACAGAGGAATAATTTTCCAAGAAGCAGCGAAAATAGTTCGCAAGTCCAAGGAATGACCTGACCTGTCCCACGTCCTGTGGAACGGGCCACTGTTGGACTGCCGCCACTTTCTTTGGATCAACTTTGAGGCCATCGTTGCCTACCAAGTGACCAAGGTATTCTAACTCGCGTTTGTAGAAGTGACACTTCCACAACCGAGCAAAGAATTTATGCTCTCGCAGTTTTCCTAACACCCATTTCAGGTGTTGTGTGTGTTCTTCTTCGGTCTTCGAGTACACGAGGATGTCATCCAAGTATACTAGGACGAATTGGCCGATTGCCTCCCGAAACACATCATTCATTGTGCGCTGAAATGACGCGGGAGCATTTGTCAAGCCAAAACTTAACACACGCCACTGAAAATGTCCAAACGGCGTTCGAAAAGCCGTTTTAGGAACATCTTCCTCGGTGATGCGCAGCTGATGATACCCCTGAGCTAAGTCCAACGCACTGAACCACTGAGCTCCTTGGAGCCTATCAAACAGATCCTCAATTCGTGGTAGAGGGTATCTGTTCTTCACCGTAATCTTGTTCAAGGCACGATAATCTACGCACATGCGTAATCCTCCGCCCTTCTTGTTAACGAACAAAATCGGTGCTCTGTAAGGGGATGCACTGGGTTCAATCCATCATTTTCTGAGGTATTCCTCGATCTGTTGTTTGGCCTCTTCGTACTCAGCTGGACTGAGGCGATACAGAGGTCGAAAGGGTGGAACCTTTCCTGGTTCAACAGGGATGGTGTGACCCACTGCGCGGTCAGGCGGAAGTCCATCAGGGATGGTTTCAAAAACTTCCTTAAATTCCTCTGCCAGTATTTGCATCTGAGGAGGGAAATCCTCAATTGCTGGCTCCGAGGCCTCAGCATTCTCAAGCTGTACCACGAACAGTGTATCAGCCGACTTAAGAGAATGCTCGAACTGGTTGGCCAACACACACAGCGCGCTGGGACGTTCAGGCGTCTGTGTTTCAGTGGGCAAAGTATCATTGACTTGCCACTGGATTGCCTTTCCATTCTTGTTGAACGAGACAATGTTGTACTGGAAGTCCAGAATGACTTCGTTGGCTTGCAACCAATCCATGCCCAGGATGAGGTCGACACCTGACAAAAGTGGTAGGACATACACGCGAACTGTTTCGCTATAGTCCTGTACATTCATGTCGATATGTGTCTGTCCTTTACTTGGAATGACACGATCGTCACCCAAGCGGATGGGACATGACGGTCCTACAACGAGGACGTTGCGTTTCATGACCCAAGTTTCATCAACAAGGGAAACCGACGCGCTTGTATCGACGAGAATCCTTGCTTCATCCCCATTCATGCGTCCAGATAACAGTAAATTCTGTTGGAATCTTGGACGGATGGGACAAGCAACAACAAGTTTAGGAGGTCGAAAGTACACCCTAAATTTGTTGTGAGCACGTCCAAACCTTTGGGATGTGGTCCACCAAACATGGTGCCCTTTGTCCCATGTTGCCAGGATATGCCATTCGTGAAATCGACGGAACAACTCTCCTCTCACGATTCGAGTCACTAATCCCACTGACGTGAGCGGGTGCTCTTGGACACAACGGTCCACAATATCCATGATTGCTGGCAACTCGTTGAACGAGCAAAAGATGATTGAAAATTTATGTCTCAAGGATTCAATTGAGATGTTTTCAAGTGGGTACGATCGAGTTTTAAAAACAGATTTTTCATTAATAGAAGAGGCATACAAACAAGCGATTTTGCATGATGCAAGCTTCTCCAGCTTTAGCAAATCCTCATCACGAAGGACATAAGTCTCATCTACTCGATCTCGCTCACCAACTAGGTACCCACCCCCTAGTTGGACTTCGGAAAATCTTTCGGGCCCGAATGGCCAGAACCATCCGGCTTCTTGCCCTGGTTGGGCTTGCCGGAGTTCTTGACGGACTTCCTCCAACGGCAGTGATAGGACTTGTGGCCGAGCTTGCCACAGATGCGGCAGCCCGCCGGGGGCTTATCCTCATCCTGAGGATCCTTAGCAGGCCCAGCATGGGCCCTCTTGGACTGAGTCCCAGAGGATTCCCCCCTCTGCTGATAGGGCCTCTTCCAAGAGCCACCGCCCCTATGTGCCTGAGTCCTGTTACCACCCCCCCTAGGGCCTTCGGCACTAGGCTGCTGCTGAGCACGAGCGTGAGTCATGTACGCACGGAAATTCACATCCGTATCTATGACCTGCTCCTTGCACTCCTTGTAGGTCCTCCACTGGTGCTCCCCGCGCACAACATGCACACGCTTGATGTGCTCAGGGAGTCCCTTGAAGAACTGGTGGATGACCTCGCTCTCAGGAAGAGCAGTCTTCAGCAGCGACAGAGTTTTCTCAAACTCCTTGGCGTACTCGCGTACAGGCTGGTCACCGCACTGGATGTTCTCCAGGTGGCTACGCACCTCGAGCGCCGGGGGCTGACTCAGAAATGCCGCCAACATGGCAGCTTTGAACTCCTCCTAGCCAAAAGGATGACCATTAGCCTCTGCGTGGCGCTTGTTGGCATACACCAACTTGCTCGCAGTGTCGTCCAAGGCAAGGGTTGCAGCGACCACGCGAGCCTCGCTACGCACATTGTGGATGGACATAAAGTCCTCCGCAATGGAAAGCCAAGTCTCGACGTCGGTCTTGCCATGGACAAAACGAGGCAGGGCCGAAGGGCAGGAGCCAAAGGCATTTGCAGCTACAGCAGGAGGCTCAGCACGTGCTCCAGAAGGAGGAGGAGCAGCAGGCGGTGCAGCAGCAGGTGCAGCATGGCTGTTAGCGGCATTGGCGACTCGCTCTGCTGCAGGAGCAGGCTGATAGAGGTTGCCACACCGGATCTCCCTGTACTGAGCCTGAAGCACAGAGATGTTTTTCTCTTGCTTCTTGAGCTGACCCTGCACGAATTGGAGAGTGGTTTGCAGGTCCTGAATGAAGCTGGAGGTGTCGTTTTCCTTAGGGATCAACTGTACCTCCCTGATCAGCTGCTCAATCAA